GAATGCAAACTAATTAATATATTATTTATCGCAACAGAAGTTAATTAAATTAAATCTAAAGTTTGAAAACTAAATATTTTTAAAAATGATTTAATTAATACCTTTTAATACCCATTTGATTGTTATCGGGAGTTAATTGGGCTAAAAATAAAGTGATTTCTTTAATAACTGCACTCTTTTAATGACCGGTTGTTTACTTTAATCAAAATTTGATTAATACTGTATGCGATCACAAATTAAATAAAAACTAAATTAAACGCATGTTTATTATAATATTAAAACGATTATTATCAACTAAGTGAATTGTTTATTTATAAACGGATTAAAAGCTATTGATAGTCATATAAGTTATGCCAAATTTACGGAAACCTAGATCAATTTTAAAATAGCAAAACTGTATTATATCACAACTTATTGCAAATCCTAGAAATATAAACAAATAAAGTAAAATTAATATTCTTGCAACAATAGATGCACATTGTAAATTACAATCCATTGAAACATAAATGCCATGTACAAATGTTAGTAAAAAGTAGATATTAACAAAATCGGTTTACATCAATAGTTTTACTTCAAATCTACTTTTTATACAATTTTGTGTTTATTTTATTTACAATAATAATCAATGATGTGAAGAGAGGATTAAATATATGGCTAATAGGTATCGGAAATGTCAATTATTTAACACATTTCACTGATTAATAACAAAAGCAATTAATTTAAGTGTAAATTAATTTTATAACACAATAAAAAGGTGAAAACAGTTGCCTTCTTGTCAACCAATAAGGCGTTATAAAAGTTTTGATTGTTAGGACATCACAAAAGTTAATAACATGTGTTGACGAGAAAATGTTCATGATGAAAGCATCATGTTATTTAAATATCATCAATTCTTCATAAGTAAGTACAACAGTAGATATTTAATATGTATTTTTTGTAATAACAATAATTTCAATTTCAGATTTAATATAAATTAATTACAATATTTTATTTAAAATTTAATCAAAATACTGTTAAATATGTACCTATTTTTAAGACGAAATAATTAAAATGTATTATATTTTTAACATTTAAATCATTGTATAAAATAATACTAATTTGTAATTATAGTCACGCTTCTGACTATCCGTTTATTGCAGTGTTTATAAACTTTAAACTAAATTACAACTTAAAACATAAATCTAAAACTTTTATCTTAATTTCTTAATTAAATTATAATTTAGTTAACTTTTATAATAGTTTTACTTCAATTAAATTCTGTTCAGTTAAAACAATTTTATGTTTTTTAAAAAATAGGATAAAACAAATGTCTGATAATATACCGGAAAAAATAAATAAATACTTTTAATTAAGTGATAATATACTTGTATTAATGACAGAATATTGAAATAATAAGCAAAATGATTGGGAAAATGTTCAGTGTTTTGATAATATCGATATGACTACACAATTATTGTTAATATTTGATATTTAAGGTAATCAATGAATGATCAAAACTCCTGTTTAGTAATTAATTGAATCTCATTTTAACGAAAATACAATATTTGGCACAAAATATGTGGAAATAAGGAAAGAATTTGGAAATATAGATAAAAAAGTGAAATTGAGTTCAAAGTCAAGCCCACACTCTCTATAACTCAATGATTATCTCACTATTGATTTATATTTTGTAATAATTTAAGTTTAAATATAATAAAAAGTAAAAGGTATTTATACTTAATAGATATATTAAAACATAATAATTAATACTAAATCTCTCTCTCTCTCTCTCTCTCTTTACTTCTTTCACAAATGATTTAATAGGGAAAAGATTGGGTCAAACGATAGTGTAATTAAACATCAAATATTAATATCCGGATTGAATTCACGAACTCATTAACTCATTATTTAAATAGAAGACAAGTCCACGACATATAAATATAACGTTTTGATCACATTTTAGTTTTAATCATTTTAGAAATTAATACAAGCATTAAATATTTTTTATATAATTTTAAAAATAGCCATTAATTATAATTGACTTATAATGAGACATAAGACTAATTATCGACAAAAATTATAATAAATATGATAAGAGAGGTATAGTTTTTATTATACATAGTAATTACGATTCCGTAGTGTTGTTATCATTTGCATTGAATACTATGATTATAATGTAAACCATAACACAAGTGGTATTATAGTTATAGTTAAGGCACAAAACAATGTGTGAATTAAATGTGGAAAAATGTTTTGCGGAAAAGAGTTGTTGAAGAAAAAGTCGGCCGAATCCAGAGCTAAGACTTTATATGTGTTTCAGTTTTACGTGAATTGATATCACATTCAGATTACGTATTACTTTCATGAAAAGCCTATCTATTGTTTAGGCAGAAGTTGTCTCTAAAAACTAGTTTTTTATTTATCGTCAGTTGTATTCCTTGACCCAAAGCCTACTCCAAGACATACAGTACAGAGACTGAGATTTTTTCGCTCAAAATCAATGACTAAAACTTTGCAAAACAGTTGTCAGTTTGAGTTAAAGACACTTCTTGTATGAGTCACTGGAAATACTTATATAACTTTTACGATATGTTTCTTTTAGTGCATACTTTTTAAAACATTTGTTTAGTTTCTCTCGTTTTCATTATCAACCACTTCTCGGCTTTGAATATAAATATAGTTTTTGTAATTTATTTTTTGTGATCATTTCATGAAATGAAGTGACTTTTAATAATTTAACGAAAACATGGATTCGTTGGAATCGATATCCAACACAGTGAACACGAGTTCACTTAACTGCCGATCGTATGACCATCTCTTCAAACTGATTATTGTCGGCGACTCTTGTGTTGGAAAGACTAGTATTTTGCAGAGATTTCACGGCGAGACTTATTTACCCGCTTCTGTGCCAACCATTGGTATGCATTTAGCAATTTATTTTGATGTCTGTTTTCAATTATGGATGTATTCATCACTTTTATTGTGGGATTTTATTCAAGGTATCGATTTTAGGATCCGAACCATAACTTTTGAAAACAAAATAATTAAACTCCAGATCTGGTGAGTGAAGCGGTTATGAGAGGAAATCTAGTTCTTATATAAAATAGTGTATAAAAACCAAAACTCATTATAACTGTTATTTACAATCGGTTTCATATATGAAGGGATACTTCAGGTCAAGAGAAATACGACTCAATTACGACATCCTATTATAGAGGAGCTCTCGGAGTACTTCTCGTCTATGATATCACGAATCGAAAAAGCTTTGAAAACATTAAGAGTCGTTGGATTAAACATACAAATGATGTAATTTTATTTTTTATAATCGTTTTTCCTATTTCTCACTGCACTTTAAAACCAAAAATAATAATTCATTAAAACTAAAACTCGTTGTCTTTCATGAAGAACACGAGGAAAGGCGTGAAAATGGTTTTAATTGGAAACAAATGTGATTTGCGTTCAAAAAGGGAAGTGAATTCAGAAGTGGCCGAAGCGTTGGCTATTGATTACGGACTCAAACACTTCGAGACCAGCGCTAAGGAGAATATAAATCTCGAAAAGGCTTTCTTTCAGATTTCTAAAGACATCTATAATGAGGTGAAAAACGTTTCTTATTATTTGCATTCAATTTCATGCAAATTGTTTTAAACAACTTTTTTTCATTATTTATTTTGAATAGAAATGCTTGAGAGATGAGGCAAATAATGTGTCGTTGTCTCCAACAACTGCACCCAAGAAAGGGAAGACATACCGGTGCTGTCAAATCAACGTTAATCTTTAAATTGACTCATTTTGTTGTTATATATTTATTATTATCTTAATATGTAATTCTAATAATTTTAATTATGTGTTTATA